TCTTATCATATGTTTATTTTCCAATCAGCAAAACTTTCCCATGGGAGGATTTCTTACAGTTCATTTCAAAATCTTCATATATACTTTTACAAAATTTTAAACAACCCACAGGAAATATTCTTACAAGTCTATCTGGCCCCTTAACTTTTCAAAATCAACATTCTAGTTCCTCTTTTGCTGGTTTCCAAAAATTAATTTTTTTTCTTTTTAATTCTTAAATTCAAATGAAACTTCTTTCATCCAGGATAGAAGGAAGCTCTCCCAGTGTAATGAAACTTGCACTTCAGAAGGTTCTTAATATCCAAAAGATCAATAACAAGCAAGTTCCAAAGGTAGTTAAGAAGGAAGTGGGCGAACCCAGTGCCTGTTTGGAGGCACCGAGCCATGGCTTAGGCAGGATGATTTTTCCCCGGCTCCCAGAGCTCTCAAACCCACCAGAGATTGCTATTTTGCGGTCACTTCGTGGGCGAGCCTCTGTATGGAGCAAACTTGTGGGTGATCCTAGTTCTCTCCTTGATCTGGAAAGGGGTTACAAGGAGCCGATCCATTCACTGGCTCCTCTTTCTGTCACGGCCAGCAGAGCCATCTTCAGTCCACCATTGCTTCCCTGATAGTCTCAGGTTTATTGTGTGCTACTATTGACTCATATGAGCTGAGAGCATATAAAATGTCAGGTATTCATTGCTGTCAGTTGAGGAAGCTTGTACACTACAAGGAATCCTCAGTTTCAAGGTCCTTGTTCTATAATAGTCCTCTCAGAGCTAATGGATTGGTTTGAAAATGTGGCTTTGGGATTTTATTGTATGATAGTGTGGTCTTTTCCACACTAATTCAGATGGCCTGTATTTTAAAATAACTCTGTAAATATTTGCATGGAGACAAGTGCATAGATACGTTGTTTCTCAACTTTTAACTGAATCACAGCTGCTATGCAAACTCTTACACAGTCACAAGCAAAGAGCCTTGCATCAGAGTAGACCATTACATAGAAAATGTCCATCTTGCCCAAAAGAGTGGTGCTTAGTCTTTACATCATGCAGGCAGGAGAAAAGAGGTGCAAGAATTTGAACTTTGATTCCACTATAGAGCTTGCAAATTGATAAATAGCAGTCATTGGAATTTCTTCTGTAATAGCTTTGTTAACTTTGCTACAATAAATCTATTTATCAGATATTTGGGGTCCTTGGAAATCTATTCTTAAAGTTGCTTTCTTAAGTGAGATAAGTTGGCAACAATGCAGTTGTGTAGGTAGAGCACTAGAACTGTGTAGCAGAGAATAATGTAGTGCTTATATTGCTCCATTTTAAAAAGCCTTCTTTGGCTTTTTAGTGTTGAATCTGTGACAGTAGAATGAGGGCAGGCATATTATTGGTGATAGGGAGTCATATTTAACATTCTGTGGAGAAGTATGTTCCATAGCAGGTAGGGTTATCTTATAGAATTTTCTATTTTATGGGTTTTAGAATGGGAAGTTTTTAAATGATGACAAGTGCTGCAGTAGTTTTATGGTGGGAAACTATACTGTCAATTTTTGGCATTTATAACTGGGTAAGTTTCCAGAGCCACAAAAAGAAGGTATTGGGGCCTCACTGACTCCTAGGGCTTGCCCATCTCTTCAATAGAAGGAGTTGATATGGTCTTATTATCCAAATATGAACATTTTGGTTATGTTCTATTTTGATGTTACTATTGTCTGATGTTCAGTGTTATTAGTAAATAAATTGCAAGTAGTAAGAGTGTGTGTGTGCTTGGGGTTTTTGTGGAGTGGTTTCTCTTCCCCACTTAAAATTGGAGCAACCTGAAGCCTTAATGCAGCAGGAAGAACTAAAATTGAAACACAAAATCTGGAGAATAGTGATTTTGGAGTACCTGCATGAGACTGGATCATGAGCATGATGGGAAACTCCTATAAAACTTCCCTCTCAGAAAGTATACTTAGACAAAAATGAGAAAATTCTCTCTCTCTCTCTCTCCTTGATGTATGTGAAAGAGCTCTGTTTAAATAATAACGGCATAAGATAGTCCTAAGTGAAGTCAATAGGAGCAGAATTTCAGTAAAGTTTGGATTCTCATTCTTTCTGGCAAAATGACAAATTTGTACTATCTGGATACTTTTGTTTGTGTATCTTAGTTTACCATAATAATTACAAGATTGGATTAAAAGAACTATTGGCTTCTATTTCAGAAATAAATATGGAAAACTACCTGTAATCTTGATGGATTAAGAGTATTATCAATCTGTTTTTAACCCTGAAGGAAAGTATATGCTTTTATACAGGCTCTTCTCTTTGCTATTTCTAATTTTTTCACACAATTATACCCATTGTTCTTAATACAAAATCCTCCAAATCCTTTATTTACGTTTTCAGATGTTATATAGCACAATTTTATGCAATATAATGAACAGCATCACGCCAGCTACAGAAAGAACTGTGCTGTATTTGAAAACAATGTCCTGGAGCACCAACATGGGCACAGCACAAAATTCACAACACTACAAATAACTTTGAAATGTATTTTAAAAATTGACAGCTAGAGACTGCAGAACCACTTATGATTCTAAAGTAGCAGAATTGCCAGTGCAAGGGCACTGGTTTATGAAGGTTGCTTCAGCCACTGCAAGTTCATAAGGAGCCGGAATGGGCAGGGCTCAGTGGAAGTAGTGTCATCTCCCCAAATTTTTGCACACTTATGACAATTCGCTTCAACACAGATGGCTCTTGAGGTCTGTTGCAGGAATCCATTGTACAAATCAGTGAAGTAATGTCTAAAACTGTAAGATGGAAGGAAAGGGACTGTCTATCACACTTGCATCAATGGTTCCAATTAGTAGGCACTGGGACATATCAAGAGAGCTAAACAAAATGAGACTGAAGAGTTTAAACAGGGACGAGCCTGAGAAAAATCTTTGTTCCTTTGACAGATTATTAATAATCTTTTAAGGTCACTGGGTTCCATGTTTTAATCCATCATCCATCTCTGAAACACATCTTTTTTTACTCAAATGTTGCTTCTTACAATAAACCCCCAATAAAAGAACCTTAACACTGTTCTGTACATGTTTTGTTTTCAGAGTCCTTTTAGTTTTGTTTCTAAACCTTTTCTTTTCTCTTCAATTTAGATACTTTCTTGACAGTTCCATTCTTGTTAAGAAGCTTCAGAACACGCTCTTTGTGATCCAAGACCTTTAGCATGGATTCTCGAGCCTCATTTATTTGATCCATTACAAGTTTACATCTCTGCATATTTCCCTGAAATATAACAAATATAATATGACACTGAATTAAAAAGTTTAATACTTCAAAGTAGTGCACTTTATCTTCAGACAATCATCTTGAAACACCAAAAAATATAGAAGCTGAAGAATTTAAATATTAGAAATAGCACATCAGAAAGGACGATTCATAACAATGTTCTCATGTAGCTCCCCCTCAACTCTTCTTACTGACAGTTTTCTAATACAACTGGTTCCTATAGAAAATGTGAAAGTTATTGCATATAATAAAAGTGAGCTTTAAGGAGATACAAGGTGGATAAATGATGACAAGCATTTTATAGGGAGCCACATGCCAACACCGTACATTGTCCTGTTCCCACCCCCATGTCCTCCCCCACACTCTGCCCTTCATTAAAATGAAGTCTCAGATATATTTATGCAGAGCCTAGGGAACGTCAGTTGAAAAAGATTCCCTTTCTTAGTTTAAAGTGTAGGTGAAAGATTCAACTGTGTTTAACAGGAAATGGACACCAGAAAGGGGAAGGGGGAAACTGACTAATAGAACATATCAATGTGTAGATTTTTCCTGAGAAGAAGACTGTGTAACTACATAGCACAAAGACTATGTAACAGTGTAGAATACTACACAAATCTCTGGACTTTATTAAGTAATGCCATGCTTTGAATGCAGTATGTCTGCTAAAGGAATAGTTTAAAATGTGTCAATACATTGGTCTAATACTGGGGTGTAAAAAACAAACTTAGCAGTACTTAATCATTTCTTTATGACAACTTTCAGTTGAGTACGTGTACTTTTATTTTTCAGATATTAAACATCAATTTATTCAAAAGATAATTCAGTTTTGATTTACAGTCCAGGAAATATGAATTAAATCACTTTGCTAAAAAAAAAAAGTGACCAAATGAAAATCTCCAGTTTACATATTATGTAGATCAGCTTTCTTCTCTAACAGTTGTTTTATCTAAAAAATCAAGGCTTTATTCCGCAGCTACAGCAGAGGCCAAGAAAATTAATAAAATAAGTAGCACAACTCACCTGTATCAATTCATTTATTTGATGCAAATCATCATCAGTTGCTGCCTTTTTCTTGGGGATAATGCCTTCTTGTAAGGAGGTGAGTCGTTCATACACATCGTGTTCCAGATTAGTCTACAAAATATTAAAATTTGGCAACCCCCTAAGTTTTCACACTGTTTCATATTAAGGGGTACAAAATGAGAAATTCCAATTCCTCTCCAGTGTTTATCTGCTTTCAGCAGATTCAGTATAATTCCATGCTGCCAGAACAGCAGTGAAGTCACAATATTGACAATGACATCAATATGCTTCAAAAGGAAGAAGGAACACCCTAATTCACTGAATGGGAAAACATGGATTCTAACTACCTACAGTGAAGAAACCCAATACCCCCCTTCCACATAGGCTCAACCCTTCTTTGATGTCTGCAAAAGAGATGCTTTTAGTCCTGAATTCTCATATAACCACCACTTGGTGCTTAGATTAAAATCTTGATTCAGTCTAAAACTTCAGATGCTTTTTAAAACCCAACAGTACTCCACGTATAACAACCAAACTTTGGTTTTCCTTTTTATTCTTCTGGGAATATAAAGGCTTAAGTTTGGCACTAATGCAAAACACCTACTTCCCTTGAAATACGAACATCCAGGAATATAGAGAAGTGCTGCCTCAGATCAGTGGCACCATCCCAGACACTTCTTTAACCAGTGCACCAGAGGGTGAGTTCTGAGCATTTGTACAAAATGCATCAGCATTTATGTCTGCCTCAAAAATTCCTTCCTTACTAAAGTTTTAGGTTCATGTGATACAAATTTACTTGCCTCATTCTTGAAGAGATATTAGTGCCAATCTGATGGTAGTCTCTATAAGTAAATTTTCAAATGGCTTCCTAAACTGTTAGAGTTATTTTATACTAAATCAACATGACTTTCTCACTTACCAGCTGTAATAACTGTGCTGCACAGAGATGGACTTTCCATCCCTGTGCACGGCAAGATACCCCTTTCTGATTAGCTATCTCTTGTAGCATAGCTTTCTTCTCTTCTAGAAGGAATGGGAGATGAGAAGGAAGCAAATAATGATGCAAAAAAGAAAGTAGATTTAATTCTATTTTCACCAAAATAAAGAGGAGACACAAATTGTCTAGTAGAAGTATGCATAATTTATACATGGATTTTCTGATGCTCAACCTCAGTTGTTGTTGGAATGGAACAGCAGATTTCCAGATCAGATTTATAAAAACCTTGAAAATCAAACTATGATTTCAATATGTGAAGATTTTTTAAACAAAAACAAAACCTCTATTCAGATGGAAGTGAGTGGGAAGGTATTTCAATCCAGGTAATAAGAGCTTTAGAGTCTGAAAATAGGAAATCCTTTAGTTAGGGAATGTTGATATCTAAGGATAAAGAAGAATGGCAGCATGCAATGGTAATAGAAACAGTGGATCTGGAGCTGAAAGATGAATTGAAGAAGAACTCAAAGAAGAGCTTGATGGTGGAGTTGGACAGAACATACACTAGCTTATGGCAATGGGCAGTGTAGGCAGAGTCATGTCACACTGGGAGATCACGTACAGTGGGAAGAGCAGCTGGAGATCTGAAATGTGGGTTTCTTCATGTGGAGCCACTGTGGCTGGAGCTGCTGAGTCTGTGGATGCTGTTGGAAAGGTTCCAGCTGCCATCCAGTGATCAGCAAATAGAGCTGGATGCCTAGACAGACTGCCATTAGAATTCTGCTATTCAGAGAATGAACTAAGACCTGAGGAGGAGTGGAAATTGGTTACAACAAACTAGGAGAGAGCACACAGAAGAACGGCAACAGCTACAGAAAGGAAGACACATGGACAAGCAACTCTGACGGTGGTAATGGATTGAATTAGATGAAGGTCAGAAAAGAGAATTAAGAGGATTGGAGGACTGAGTTAGGATGTGTGTGAAGCTTGAGAAGAATGCTTTCTCCCCCCAAGAAAGAACAGGATAGCAACAGAGGGTTCTGAAACTCTTTACCTGGGTGAGAGCAGGGGAAGCAGGGAGAGAAAGAGACAAGGAGAAGACTAATATAGAGCGGGTGGTGGATCTATGAGTGGGTGAATGGAAGGTAGAAAGTTCACTGAAGGTACTGAGTGATGATGTTGATGGCAAAATATGCCTACTGGGGTTTCAGGTACTATATCAGCCTCAGGCAGGGAAGAGTGGCACTTTTTCACTGGGAGACCTTGATAGTTACTGGAAATTCTGTTTTGTAGATGGCTGGATGTGGGCCTTTATATGTATGCACAAGAAGGTTGGTGTCACATGCTATATCTATTTAATAGTTCAAAGCAGGGATACAGAACCTATTTGTATGGTCTGACCAAAGGCCTGGTCAACCCAGTTGGGTTCCAGAGGGTACTTGGGAATTTTCCAGCAATCTGGAGAGCAATTTTGTTGGGAGATGTACCAACTTCTGGAATACAGAGGTGAGAGCTCTTGATAGGCGACAGTTACTTGTGCCCTCATTACCTCTAGACTGAACTACTATAGTTGTACATGGGCTTGCCAGAAAATTTGGCTGGTACAAATTGTAGCTGTCCATGTAGTAATAGGAATATTGTCACACAGCACCAGTACTATGGGAGCTGTATCGGCTGTCAGTTTACTTCTGGGTATAATTCAGGATGCTTGTAATAACCTATAAAATGCCATTATGGTTTGGGACCTAGGTATTTGTGAGACCACTTGCTCCATGTAGAGTCTGCTGGTGTGTGACAGAGAATGCATACTGAGAGTCCCCACTCCCTGTGAGGTGCAGGAAGAGCAGACTAGGACGTGAGCATTCTCTACTGGAGTTCCCCTCATGTGGATTCCCCCCAGAAATAAGACCAGTGTTAACAGTCATAAAACTTGTTAAGACCTGATTTTTTAGACAGGCATTTGACAATTAAAAAATTGATGAAAAATATATCTGGGATATGTGGTTGGCACTGGTTATCATTATTGATGCTGGATTGTATTTTATGTGGATATTTATTAGCGTAATATAATTGCTTTAAGGCTGTAGACACACTACGTGTGTAGAGGACAGACTTTGTGATCCAAATACATAATGCAGTATAAACAAGTCTTTGCATTTTTTTCATACAATTCATTCTATTTGTGTTAGGCATCAGAAAAGCCACGTAACTGTTGCAAAGCTCTGAAAATCTACTTTCAGCTCAGAGATGTTCCATCAATTATATTATGTTATATTCAAGAATTTTTTTTATAGTTAGAGACTGCACTTCCTTAAAATGGCAGGGGGGGCAGAGGTGGGTTGCATTGGCCAAGGATCATCAGGATTACGGCAGTGATGCAGTGACGTCCCTGTTACGGTTTAGAGAAGTTGTGGAGTTTGGTGAAATAGATACATTAAGTTTATTGTGGATCTGACACACCAATTCTTTAAAAAGAACTTCTGCCATTATAAATTTCAGGATGATAATGTCAGGAGTTGCTGAGGCACAAGAAAAGAGATGGAGTATTAGAAATTACTGTACCTAATAGCAACTGGAAAAATGATATAGATTATCTTACATGTATACCTGAAAGGTTATATATTTTTGAATAGGTTTTGGGATGCATTACTGATGGCTAATACATCATTTCGTACAGCTATACAAAATGTATTTAGTGGAATACAAACCTTTTACTCTGACATCACTGTACCGCTGGAAATGGTGATAGGCTGCTTTCCATGGATTGCGATAGTGACGAAGCAGAGTTATGGGTGGTCTTGGACGTACAGGCACATACCTTACTCCTTCTTCATCTAAGAAAACATTAAGAATAATTATTCAGCCTTCTCTAAGAAATTTGTATTACGAACAACAAAAAATGAATGTGATCCCATGACTGGACCCTTAAACCAGAGATTAGTTCTGTTTTGTTTAATGCTAGTTCCAGCATTAATCTGGGAAAAATACTTAATTTGT